GGATTCATAAATAACAGACTGTGAGATCAGAAATAACATGAATGACATTAAGTCAGTGTAAAGGTGGGATGTAAAAAAACAGCTTGCAGAGTGTGCAACAACTGCATGCAGGTTGAAGCAGCTTAAATACTTCATATTTTTGCAGATATATTGAGATAGCACAAGTTTTCCTGTTTAAATTGATGCTTCTCTGGTTAACTATTATAGTTTGACAAGATGATAGTCAAACAACAGGTAACAGTTAACAATGTAAAAGCGTATTTTATTGTAACCTACTTTTTAAGCCACATGGATCATTCGGTATTCCAGAAATAAAGGGTCTGGAAAGCTCACAGAGGAATTTGTTTTCAGCAGAACTCTTGATGTGTGTAAAATCAGTTTTAATATTCTTTAGTATTCATGATTAGATGATTTCTGGATGAAGCGGTGTTAAAGTGGCACAGGACACAGTTTAATCCAACGGAAATTCTTAGTGAAACACTCAGTTGTGTATAAAAACTGAAGGTCTGCTCAAACCTGAACAGAAATGTTGGGATCGTCTCCTGTCAGGAAGTCCGTCCCTGTCCTCCTCCGGTTCAAGCCTGGAAGAGGGTAGGCGGCGCTCTCACAGCCAAAGGTGATGTCACTCCCTGGATAGCTGGAGAGATTTATGGGACCTCAAAGGAAACAGCAAACTGCAGTAAAAGGAAAGGAACACCCCAGTGTTTAATCGCCTAAAACTGCTCCATGTCAAGATAATAATGCATTTACAGTTTTAAAATATGAACTTTCCTAAACTATGATGTATGAAAAACAGAAGTGCATTAACTGGAATAACAGGGTCCCCTCCTGCTGAGGTTTATGGTTGTGTTACTGCTGCTGGCAGCCTCTCTCAGCTGGCAAATACTGGGGTGGGTCCACCCATCTGAGCCACACACAGGGACTTTCTCCTGGCACACACATGAAGGCTCTGGCTTGGTCCCGTGTCCCCTCTTTGGTAGTTTAATCTGGCAACCAAGCCAATCACAGTGGTCGTATAACTTCTAAGCTCCATCTGGGTCACGTTACACGTTTGCACACAGCATCTGTAAGTGTCCTGCACCCAGTCTGCAGAGCAGCTGTCCGGCACTGGAGGGCAGAGGTGCTCGTCGCACTCCCTGCAACCCTCCACCTCCTCCCACAGCCAGTGCTGGGTCGACAGCCTGGGGGAGCGTGCACCCTTACATCCATCCATACATACACAAGCAAAGCTGAGGCCTGCTGCTAACACACATCAGTGCACAAAGTCAAAAATGAAGTCTAAAGTAACCAACTGAGGCCAGACAATGTAACTGCAAAATGAACCACATTCATAAGAGAGACTGCATTCCTGTTTTTCTGCTCTCTTACAGTCAAATAGTAACATGTTGTTCCTCCTCTGAGTTTTAAATGTTTCCTTCTGTCTCCTCTCCTCCGTCCTCTTCTGAATGGTTGATTTAATTTTGAACATTGCTGAATTATATTGCCATGCTCGTGCCCCTCCTTTGAGATTTCTTCATCAGCTTCGATTCCTTCCTAACAAAGAGATGGAATTTACAGGGAATGAAGCGAGCAAACTTCATCTCTCAGGTATCTGTTTCCTTTTTTTTCTTGCTTTACTCACAATTCTGCTGGCTTTCATCGTGTGCCAGTGAGACAGGACTGGAAACTGGGATTTACAAGAGCTACGGGAGATTCTGCGCAGTCTGCAGCTTTCAGGTTGAAGAACTTTTGTCAGCTGTGACATTCACGTCTCTTAGAATTATGACTGAAACTTTAACAGATATAACTTACATTCGAGGTGCTGTATCTGACCAGTGAGGAAAATCCTCATGTTTAGATTCACTAAAACATGAGGTCATTTTGCATCTGCGTGTTTGTTTTTTGTTGTTGTTGTTTGTTTATTTTTACAGAGCCTGCTGTTATTTTTGGGGTTTGAAATGTTAGCCTGCAGTCTGTGTCTTAACCCTGTAACACTACCATATTTGACATATTTGAGTTTCATAAATACTCCAGTTTACAAGAAAATTGATTTCTGGCAACTATTTCACAGTACAGACATTAAGGGGTTAATATAATTGATTTCAGCTTCCTAAAACATTTGTTAAAGTGTTCACTGAGATGTAGCTTAACTGAGTTTCATTAGGCTGCTGTGTCATAAAGACACTGGTGACTTAATTATTTGGGTTGGAGAAGGGTTCGGTCACCAGCAGACTGGGTGGAGGGCAATTTGTTCAACCACGTCTTAATGTCATTTGCTTAAATCAAATCCATAAACATGCTATAATAATACGTTGTAACACTATATCATATGAGGCATTTAAATGCTATGAGGCCCGGTTTAAAAGCCTTCTGTGTTTGTGTTTACTCCTGCGAAGCTGCACTGCCGGTAAGTCTGGTTTTTAGGTAACGTGGCACTTTTCCTTTCGCCATCTAGTGTGGCTCTGTGCGCACACAGAGGTGGAGGCTCTGCACAAACGCTTCCTTGTGTAAATGGCAAAGAGGCGTGGCTTACCTCACGCGTCACGTCGCTCACGTAGCACGGCAAGAGGGTTGGAGATCCGTGAAGTTAATGAAGATGCGTCATTAAAATCCGTTTGATGCTTCAAAGTAAGAAATAAATTTGTTTAATGGTCCCAATAAATGTTAATATTACATTTATAGAAGAGCACAGAGGCTGCACATTTAAGGGTCTCCCCAACAGATCATCTGCCTCACCTTTTCTCCAGCGTCCTCCTCTGTCACCCCAACACTCTCCATCAATGAACCTGTTTTCCTCCTCCTGCTGCATCCAACATATATCCAGTGTTCCTCTACTGCACGTCTCAGCCCCATCCCTCTAACTTTAACTCCAAACCCGAGCTGTCCTTCTGGTCACTAGCAACCTCGCCTCACATAAGAAGGTTCTGGGTTTGAATCCAGTCTGGGGGTCTCTGTCTTGAGTTTCCTTCCTCCAACAGACCAAAGACAATTAGTAAAGTAAGTAAATAGGTAAATTTTGGTGAATTAGATTAGCAGAGGAGAATGGATGGATGGACTGCTACTAATAAAGCATCTGATGGCCAGTGGTGTTAAAGTATTTATCAGTGTAACATTAATGGTTGTCAGAATTTAAGGAGTAAAGGAAACAGCGACAGACCTAAAACTAAACTAAACTGAGATGGATTGTAAAGAAGTCCATCAGTTATATTTATCCCATATGGTTTTACAGAAGTTGGTTTCGCTTTCTCGAATCTAAAGTGAATTTACCGTTTGTGCTTTTATTTTGAAAGTAGGCGTATAGGAAGTTGTCTGTTAAACTTTCGCTTGACTCCGCCCCACGTTTTACAGGAAGTAAAGAAATGTCTACAGGAAAAACTAGAAGACTTCACTGAATGAACTGACGGATAAACCTTCAACACTCACCTCTTCTGCTTCTGCTTCCGACAACGTTTATCAAGAGTCTCCACCGGAAACGCCTTTTCATCTCTCAAAGAGAAACGGTGAGTATTTTACAGAAACTCTAAATGAAAGTGAACTGTTGTGTGTCATTTTAGCACTTATTACTTAGGTTATGTTTTTATTCTTCAAGTAATATTATCAGTTTCGGTTATTTAGCCTGAAGAAGCAGCTTTTACTTTTTTCTCTTTTTAAAAAAAAGCCTTTAAAGTTGCTCTGATCCAATATTTCATCCATTTGAATTAACTCTAATATGTGGAGTTCTGTAGAGAGATAAAGTATAAGCCTTTAGATATTCTGATTGCTTACGTGGAACAAACAGGATGTCTTAAAGCTGAGTAATAACTGGAACTGAGTAATAAAGTTTCATCATACAAAGTGCAGGGAAGTTGTGGCCTGTTGGAAAGAGAATATCACTCTCTCAAAAGATAAGATGGCTCTTAACAATAGCCAGTAGTCACTGACGTGTTATTCTTCAAGCAATATAATTGTTTCATGTGGTTGGACAGGTGAAGGCTTGAACCTGCTGACGTGGGACAGTACAGGTGTGTCACTTAGCTTTAAACAGGTGTGTCGGGATAAAGGATCTCCTCATCCTCCAGTCAGGGTGGCATCGTTTTGCTTCCACTACAGCATTCAGACTGAGAGAGGATTTTGATTGACTTGATGTGATCGT